TGGTATGGGCACGGGGCAGGCCTACAGTGCATCAGCTGCCCATGTGACCGCAGCTTTCACTCACCTGGCAGCCGGGCATGCAGGGTGCAAAATCTGTGGGAGGGAGGTTTGTGAGGGAGTGTGACTGTGGGGTTTGTGGGCAAGTATGTGGGGGGCTGTGGGGTGTATGGGGAAGTATAGGGTTTGGGGTGGGTACTTGGGTGGGTATGTGGTGGGGTTTGTGGGTGTGGAGTTTATAGGAGGGTGTGGAGAGGTTCATAGAGGGGGTTGTGAGTGTGGGGTTTATAGGAGGGTGTGGGAATGTATGTGAGTTTGTGTAGGGCCCCCCTTCATGGCACACAGCCCCCAGTGCTGGTGGCAGCAGATAGCAGTGTGCCCTTGGGGTGCTCATGGATTGCTGCACAGAGGCCCCCAGCAGCACATGGCTCTGCCTAAGTCCCAGAGGCTACAAATGGTGCAGAGCCAGCCTGTGCTTTACTCCAGAATTTATCTTCTATCATCATGGAAAAGCACTGAAGAGTGAGGTGTTCTCTTAAAATATATTTACCAAGTTTACAGATCTCTTCTGGCATGACATTTAAAATCCTAAGTTCTTGGCACTGTGAAGTTTAAGAAAATACCATTTCCTGGAAACCTACTACTTAGACCAATGGCAAGACATACCGCATCACCCTCACAGATGGGGAAAAAAGGTTGGCAAGGAATACAAATTCTACCCAAATGAACCTTTAATACGGTAGATTATATAGAACATCTTACATGAATTCAAATTACATTTTAAAGGAAATGAAGTATTAACAGAGAACTATGTTTTAAAATCATAATCCTGTAATCAGATTACTTTTCCTTAACAATACTGCAATTCCTCCTGAATGTGAAGGAGGACTTTGAAGACTATATAATCTAATTGTACAGCTCCTACAAATTATGTAATTGTTTCTGAGAAAGACATCCATGGAAAATCATTCCACTTATGGCATACTTTATTTCAGAATGTTTTACATACATTAAGTCTCAATGCCACAGTAGAAAGATCCTATAACCATTTTAGAAACAGGAGATCTGAGGTGAGGTGATCTAAGCAAGGACCACCTTAAGGATATGAGGAAAGATGTGTGAATAAATTATTTTTTTCAGTTCTCTGGAAGTTCAAAAGGGATGGGGGGGGAAGAAAATTGATTTTGAGGTCAACCCGAAGATGAAGTAACCAAAAAGTATTCGCTTTGGGTCTGCACCCATCGGGCCTCAAACATCTGGTCTTGTGCGGCCTTGGTCCGTGTGGCCAGTAAAGGGCATCCTATGATCTCCTGTAGTTCTGTGGGCTGCCATCTATCCCCTGAGTTGCTTCCCCCAATCTCTCCTGCCATGACTTTGAAAGTTATACCAGCGGGAGGGGCAGCCACCCTCTGTTCAGCTGCAGGGTTCAGCTGCAGCACGGAGACAACCCGGCAGTAGTCCGTAGGGCTCCACCTCCCCTACACCCCAACCTCACGCCAACCTCCAGCAGGTCATCAGATCTTCATGGTCATACCCCCCGTGATGTTTGTCTTCCTTGGGACCCTTTCGCTCACGTGTCCCTACTATGCCCCAGGACCTGCTTCCTGAGGTGACTAACTCAATCAGCCATAGGGCTATGGAAAATACAATCGCACCCTCCTGGCTCGAACAGTCCCTACCTGGGACTCCAGAATTCACTCTACCCTCTAACAAAAAAAATGGAGGATCAACGAAAAATATGAGACAGGGTGAGGCGATATAGCCAGGATGGCACTATCTCCCAACCTCTCCAAAAGGGGGAAAAAGCAAAGAAAAGACAGACTAATGAAAATCAAGCATGGGAGGACCTGATCAGTCCTTTTCCCCTACCCTTATGTCAGGGTGACAGTCAACCCTTTGCACCCTCTGATCCTGCTGACGTCTGGCCTACCGTGGTCAGCGCAGACCATGGCCCTTTGCCCCAGGTCATTACAGCTCTTCCTCTGCCCTGTATAACACAGGCCACTGTCATCCTTCTCCCCTGTGGGAAGCGCCCCGTTTCTGTTATCCTGGGGTGTCTCCCTATGTATCTGGCCACCCCTCGCATTGTGGGCTGACACCCAGCCTCTGGCTGGGGTATATCTCAGCTTATCTTGCTGTCCCGTTCCATCTCTGCCCAGAGGGGAAGCCTCCTTTGCCTCCTGCGCACCTTCAATGCTCCCACCTGTGTTAGCAAAAAGAGCCTCCTCCGACTCTGCTGTCCCTCCATCGACCCTGCTTCTGTCGGTGCAGGGAGCCTCTTCTGTCTCCTCCATCTCTGCCGCACTTTGTCCCTTGTTGCAGTAGAGAGCCCCTGCCGGCTCTCTCACTCTCCAGGTATTCCAGGAAGCAGCCGGTGTCAAAGACTTCCCCATCTCTGCTCTGCCCTCCTTGCCATCTTCCCCAGCAGTTCCTTTTATACCTGCCAGCTGGTGATTGCCAGTGACATCACCGGCCGGTCTCAGCTGGACAAAGGCATGGCTTATGACTTGCGCGGATTTCCTCTCTCCCTCCAGCTGCATTGCGGGTCCTGCTGATGTCAGTGAGTAATCTCTTTAAGTTATTTTTATATCTTTTCTCTTTTCTTTGTGTGCTCCCTGCTCCAGGGGGTCCTGGCTTATTGTTTGGGGTTCTTTCCCCCCTTCTCCCCTGGGACAGGGTCAAAAGAAATTCTGTTTAATTTTGGGGCCTTTTTAATTAAAGGAACACACTTAAATGGTTAATTGCATCTTAGGCCCCTGGCAGATGTTAAACTTAAGGAGGAGGAACTGGAGCTCATACATTAGGATGTTTCCTGGCTTGTCCTTTGGGGTGTGTTGTAGGATTTTGTTCTCATCTGGCAACTAACTGGCTCCCGTTTATACATAAGTCTCCTTCTGGGATTCCTCCTGTAGGGGTCAAAAGCTCAGCATAACTTCCAGGAGCAGATCCAGGGGCAGTGCAGTACAGTGATCACATCGCCGCAGCAGAACCAGGGTCTAAAATCTCAAAAAAGGTAAGTACTCCCCTCTGCTCAAAACCATGGCTCCTTCCCTTTCCTGACTGTTCATGCTGTCCCTGGGGCAAGAGAAGGGACACAATGCCCTTCCCAGTGAGCAGGCATGTTCCCCCTGGGTGTTCTCTGCACCAGCCCAGAAGCAGGTATTGTGGGGGGTGCGAAAATGTGCCACCTGCTGCAGCTGCAGTCTCAGGTGAACACAGCATGGCTGAATTGTGACAGGAGCTCCCCTAACCTTGGGACAGTGCCAGCAACAGCAGGCAGGGGAGCTGAAGTCCTCAGCTGCTCCTACTGTGCCATCTGTCTGCTATGGGGTGAGGAGAGGAAGGGGGCAGAGACAGAAGGCTGGGAGTGGGGGGGGTACAACCCTCCTTTTTCAAATCCTGTATCCATTTTTGATAGCTTTTACATGGGAGCCGAGATGCTCTAGGAAGAAGGAAAACCAGAAAAGATACCAAATTTCTTGCCATAAAACTACTACGCTGTGCAAGTATGGGACTATTTATTTATTTATTTTTTTTAAGATAGATCGGACTGAGGGAGTAACTGGAAGAATATTTTAGCTTAAACCAGAAAAACTCCTTAGATAGGAGTGCCCCAGGGACAGAAGTAATGGAGGATACTTACCGGCAGCATGAGACGCAGCACAAAAGGGGCGGAATGAAGAGCCCGCGCAGCTCGTCAGTCACCTCTTTATTCAATTACGGCCGACTGATGACGTCAGCTTCAGACGCCAGCCGGCGAAAATAAAAATGGTAGCTGATGCCGCGGAGGAGGCGAGCAGCACGGGAGAGGAGCTGCAACCACCACAGGGAGCGGAAGGGATCCTCCCCACGGGACCCTCAGAGCCTGGCAAGCAGGGGAGGATGCTGGCAGTGCAACGCAGAGCATCCCAACTGAAGCCCACATGGGACGGCGAGGGAGTGACAAGCACGCCGGCCAGAGGCAGAGCTAGAGCTGTGCCCGGAGGCAGAGCTGACCCCAGGTGGAAGTGTCAGGATGACGGGGCGAGGAGGAAGCCACACCAGGAGGAGAAGACACCGGGAGAGCCCTGAGGGGTTTACAGTCGGGGCAGGTATCGCTGCCGGTCCCAGCCAGGTTGACGGGCAGCTGGGAGTGAATACTGGAGGTGATGGGTCAGGAATAAAGCAACCCCCCCAGCTAGAGTCTGGGGAAGGATAGCAAGGGGGCAGGGGCCGCCACGTCAGGAAGTGGCTTTTTATTCTGTGTTTTGTTACTACGTTTATTTAGTTACCCCATGCGAAGGGGCAGAAGGGAAGAGTGTGGGTATCTCCGAAGGATGGGTCTGAGGAGAAGCCTTGGAAGGTTTACTTTTTTTTGTGTTTCCCCAAAAGAAGGGGCAGAGGCAAGGAGGACCAAGGGGTAGACCCACACGGGCGAACGTGGCTATAGGCCATGGGCACCTAGACGCCAAGTCCAGGTGGCGTTATCCCAACAGAGGGGACGAGGCCAACAGACGGACGACGCACTGAGGAGGCGTGAGGCCGAGGTGTAGGGGTGGTGGAGCCCCGTGAATGACCGCCAGGCGAACCATGGGCCACCAAGTACACTCAATGACCAGTCCTGCCTACTGGGGAACAAGAAGTCGTGGCAGTCAAGAACAGGGGAGGCGACTCGAGGGGGGGACATCTACTCAGTCTGCAACACAAGTCCTTAAGGCGCTTGATGTCTACCACCAGAGTGAAGGCCACCCGAGAGCGGCTATTCAAGGCCCGGCGGTCACAAGGAGAAAATGGGTTTTTTAAGGTCCAAAAACTGAAAAGTGGCTTAAGGCCTCTTCTCAAGGCAGAGTCCCAGGAGGAATCTCTACATTTGCAAGATAAGCCACAGTCTCTCCAGAAACCTGGACAAAACAAAGAGTCCTTGCACTACTTGTAAGCCTCGATTCCACAGAAGGGGATTTCTGTCACATTCTGTCTACATCACAGGTGGAGTACAATTTCCATGCTATATTTTGATGACTTTACCAACGTGGAGACAGAGGTTGGCAGACAATCCTGTTAGGGCACAATCCTAGGGATCAAAAGAAAAATGCATATAGAATACTGTTCATCACTTGTCCAAAATTTGGCTTTAAAATTCCAGGATAACAACAGCAAGTAATATGGAAGTTATTTAAATAGAAGAGAAGCCAAAAACAAAGAACGTATACAGAAAACTGAAGGACTTGGACCAGACCCTGGAGTTCTGCAGACATGCCTGAGATGCCTTCAGTATTTTCAGGAAGATAGCTGCAGCCCAAGCATCTAACTTGCGGATACCTGAGAAATCCAGAGGACTTTTTGTTAGCTGTTGTGGTAGTGATGGGTAGTTGCTTGGTGACTGAAAGATCAATCCTTTAGTCAAGTTGCTTTTA